TGGACTGTGTTCTGGTAATTGAAGCTGTATGTCCTTAAAACCCACCAACCAAATAAATAAATAAAACGACCGCCAACAAAAAACCATAACCAGCAAACCACACAGACACATACAGTGCCTTTCCATCTTTGTAACTTTATGAAAAACGTAATATCCAGGTTTCTAAGTTGTGGTGGGTTGATTCAGGCCAGCAGCTGAGCACCCACACGGCCACTTGTTCTCTACCTCTGCCTGTGGGATGAAGGAGAGAATAGAAAGAGCAAAAGTGAGAAGGTTCATGGGTTGACATAAAGACAGTTTAGACGACAAATGAAAGGGGAGAAGCAGCAAGTGGCGCAAAGACAATCGCTCACCACCTTCTGCAGGTGGACTGGTGCCCAGCCAGTCTCTGAGCACTGACTACCTTGGAAGATTGCCTCCCCCCCAGCCTCTTCCTGTACTCCCGTTTTTATTGCCAAGCTTGACGTTATATGATATGGAATATCCCTTTGGCCAGTTCAGGTCAGCTATCCTGGCTATGTCCCTTCCCAATCTGTTGCCTACCCCTAGCCTACTTGTTGCAGGAGGCAGAGTGGGAAAAGAGAAAACTGTGACACTGCAAGCACTGTTCAGCAACAGCCAAAACTTTGGTGTGTTATCGACACTGTTTTAGCCACAAATCTGAAATATAGCACCATATGGACTGTTAGGAAAAAATTCCATCCCGGCTGGACCCAGTACGTGTGTCAAACTCCAGGGGCGAGAAGGATGACACTGTGCTTCTTAGCTAGCAGGTTTTGCAAAACCTTTCCGTCTCTCCAAATTCGAGTTGAATTGGTGTCAGTGTTGTAAATGTGTTTTTAATGTGCACGCTTCTTCTATAGGCCCATCAGCATACATCTTCCATATGTTGTACCTGAATAGCACATCAGGGCTTAGAAACAATACGATCAATAATACCTGAATATTAAATGCCCATCTTTGTATGAACTCCTCATGATACAAATCCATGGTAGAAGGCTGTGGTGTAACAAAGAAAGTAAGCTGTCTTCAACAGCAGTACTTTCAAATTTGAACAATTATATTTGTCTGACCTTCTTGCTGTGGTATATGAATCTTTAATTAGGTGTATTTATACTGTGAGATTGTTTTTCCAATTTAGTGTGTAGAACCAAGCAGCTCTGATAACTTTTAGTTTGTATCTAGGAAATATTTTCCATTGTCTTTTCCTTTCTTTCTTGTTTTAATTTTAAAGTCATTCAAATGCATAATTAGCTTTGTATTCCTAGTTACTGATTTTAAAATTTAAGTTTGTTGAATTTCCCTTTAGGTAGGTCTGTGAAGGAAGAGGAAGGAGACTTGGGGACTTCAGCATGGGCTAGACACTTGAATGAAGCTTCGAGGATTACCCCTCAGGTAAAGCAATACTTTAAACAGTTTGAACACATTTTTATAGGAAAAAGAGGTCATGAAGTTGTAAGTACAGAACGAATGGTGGACAGGTCTTTCCACACTGCATATCTGATAATAGATACTTCTGGTTCTGGTAATGGAGTATTTTTGTCATGCCTTTTTTCATTTTTGTTATTTTGTTTTTTTTCCTTTCAAACTGTCTTCTGTCATAGTAGCTTGTATTAAGATGCTCAGGGCAATATCTTGAAAAATAAAAAATACTTAATAAAAAAGTGTGAACTTAGATTCAGTCTTAACTGGGGAAGCACTGTGTTGTTTGTTCGGTGTTATTCCCCACCAGAGCATCAGAACAAGTGGAACCTGTTGATAGTATTTATAGTAAAGATACTTGCTTAGGAAACTGGTACTGCCAAACTGATACAACCTTTCAGCAGCCAGCAGGTAGGAATATTTTTGCTTTCTGATGTCCAGGTGGAATCCAGCAAGGAATATATAAATGAAAGGCGGTGTGTCTCACACTCAGAACCTTTTTAGTATTTCTAAACTTGTCTAGAACAATTACAGTTGCAAAATAACAGTGCTATTTAGTAGCTGTATTTTAACTGCATTTCTTGTAGATTTGTTTTTTTGGGGGTAAGAATATCTAACTACACGATACTCCTTACAGTTTGTAATTCCCAATGTAGCATTGGTTCTCTCATCAGCTGAATATTGAAAACAGATTGCCTGTTTAAGTAGTCAGTGATTGTGGTGTGGCTTGCTATAGAGGCCGGTTTGATCAAGAACAATTGCATTTGTTTTGATCACTGTAAACTAGAACCAAGAAGTAGAGAAATTGAGATTGTGTCATTAATCTATAGCATTGCCGTTAAGCGCATATGGAAAAGCTTGCACAGAGATACTATATTGTATCCTATTTTTAAGAAGTATCTATACTAAAAGAAATGATGGAATCATAAAGTGGTCAGACACTGCTGAACTGAAATATCTTTTTTAAAAACAGTAGTCTAATTAGAAAAACTAGAGTGAACCTATAGCCAGAAGGTTTTAACTCCCACCTTTTTTTCTACTCCTAATTTCCATACTAGGATACAAGTAAGACTCAAAAATACATCAAGAAAGAGGGTGCATCAGAAGCTAATCATAAGATTCAGGAAAACAGAAGTATAGTCCACAACAACAGCTTGAGTTTTCAGCATGGCAAATATACACGAGACTCCAGTCTAATTCAAGGAGAATGTCGGCTGAGTGATGGCAGCCTTAGCCCTGACAGGCCGTATGGTGAAACATCCTTGTCCGTACCACTTCATCCAACAAAGAGGCCAGCATCAAATCCACCCCCTATCAGCAACCAGGCGACAAAAGGTAATGTTTATCTCTGTCCTCTTGCCAGAGTGGAGAGACAAAAAACCCCAAAAGGACTAGGAAAAAGAGCTTGTGAACATCAAAAAGAGCTGTTAGATGCAGAAACTGAAAAAAAAAGGACAGGCTTAGACCTTGAGGAAAAAATACAAACTGGGCATCCTGTGGACAGTCAAACTTTTGCACAGAATGTGTGGAGGTGGAATTAAGAGAGATGTAACTAGGTGTGTGGCCAGATGAAACTTTCATAGTTCCTGTTGCACCTCTGCAGGTGTTATCTGTTATGCGTTTATTACCACAACTATCCTCTGAAACACTGGCCTCAGATTTGTTTAATGAAGTGAAGGTTTAAAAACTGTGACACTTCAAAAAATAGTCTGATGATCATACTATTTAGTTTTTAGTTTCTAGTTTATTTTCTATAATTTACTTAAGGGAATAACTTGAGCAAAATTCAGAAAGCACAGTTTAGGTTCTCCCCTACCACAACCACTGCCCTTCAGTAGACTGGAGACATTTGTAAATAATTTTTTTAACAGTTTTTTTGCAGTTATGATTCCCTGTTTGTTTGCTTCCAAACAGATCAATGAAGAGTGGGTTTTTTTGTGTTGTGTTGTTTGTTATTTTTTTAAGTTGATTCAGGTGAAAATTTTGCCTGCTTCCTCTTGAAAGCTAGGTTTCATCTTTGTTCTACAATGATAAAAATTTGTTCTGAAATTCCCAGTTGAAGTACTTGGATTTCATTTTTCAGGCAAACGTCCAAAGAAAGGAATGGCAACTGCTAAACAGCGCCTTGGGAAGATCTTGAAGCTGAACCGGAATGGCCATGCACGCTTCTTTGTTTAATGTAGCTGCTACTTCTACTACTGCTGTCTTTCCTACACAGACCAGTATTGAGGTCAACAGAGCCTGGAGCTGCTGTTATTCCTCTGCTTGAAGCAGACTTGCATGTACCATATAAAACACTGCCTGATGAACAAAATTGAGAAAGAAAGAAAAAAAAAACACAACAAAAAAAAATCACAAACAAAAAAAAAAACCAACCCAATGCTGCATTTTCACTGTGCCACACCTGCTCAGCAATAACCATACGGGAATGGGGAAATCTTCAGAGAGACATGGACTGTGGGAAATAGTCTCTCATCAGGGCTTGAATATCATTTGTTGCTGGTAGTTTCTGACCTAATTAATGAGGGGAAGATGATGAAGGTGGTTTATCAATAATTTATTTCTGATAGATTTTGACAACTTTTAAATTCATTTAAAAAACCTATTTATTTGGAAGACTTTTTTTGTGGGGGTTATTAATTTAGATTTAAGAATGTGAAAGTTTTTAATTGTTTTGATAATGTATGTTTGGTGCAGTGGAGAGCCACATTAATTGTGATTAGTCTGGACTGCTAAATTTGATGTTCAGGTTATAGTCTTAAATAGGGGTGAGATGCATTATTAATTATTTTTTAAATTAAGGCATATGTAATCTTATTTTTTTTTCCTGCTTTTTGTAAGCTATTGGCTGGGCTTCTGTTGACATGCAAGTTGCATATTCTCTGCCAGCTTGATTATTTTTTTGACCTGTCCTCTTTAATACAGATTTATTTATTTGATGGACTAGAAGAGACTCCTAAAGACAGAAGAATCTTCTTATGTCAATCCAGTAGCTAACTTGTTTTAAACTACACCCCTTTCCTCCAAATTGGAGTGCATACTTTTCCTCCTGATGATCTGTCTGTGATGATTTTCTTCTGTAAAAATGCCCCCTGAAATTGTATTTGTACAGGTTATTTAAGAGTTGGTGCAAAGGAAGGAAACCTAACAGATCTTTTTGGAGGAACGGGGACATCAGTTAAGATAAATGTTTCTTCAGAACAATTACTTTGAAATAACTCGTAAGATATAGATTGCAGTCTTAAGATTTGGCTTATTACTTAATGTAGCATTAAAATATTATTGTACTTTAAACACATTTTACTGAAGAGTCAGGAAGGCAGGAGAATGTGTGTTGCTTTCAAAGCTGGGTGAGACAGCCAATTAAAAGTCTTAACTGGTGCATATATAAGCATTAAGTAGCTTACTGGTAATCAGAATGATCATTTGTGTCAGGCTTCATACAGAGCTGATAGCAAATGCCGATTCTGAATTATTGTAAATACTTTTGATTTAAAAATTTGTATTTTTCTGTAATATAAAATTAAATATTTAACTTTTGGGGGATGGGGGTGAAGGTGGAAAGAGGAATACTTTTACTTGATTCTGGAAAAAGGGCATTTTGCAGGGTCCAGCCAAAATGTAAACATTAATATGCTAGTGACGACAATATTGTTGGTGGTTTGGGGTTTTTTTTTTGGTTGCTAAGAGTAAAAATACTCATATCCAAGTCATTTAATTGATTTAACTTTCCATAGCAGTTTTTCCTTCCTCCATATTCTATACTGGAATCGTTTTCTCTTGTGATTTAAAACCAGATTCAGTCGGACTTTCCAAAGTATTTGTTCAGAGTTATTGTTATCTAGGCTAGATTATGAATGCCTTTACAAATTTATGGAAAGAGTTCTGATGTCAGGCAGTTTTGCTTGTTGCAGGGTCAAAACTATTTAGTGCTGTGTTACCCTGTTTCTAAATTGAGGAACATCAAAACATAAGGCAACTGCAAATAAGTCAGGCAGCTTTCATGACTTTACTTCCTCTGAAGCTTGAAGACTCTTCACTTCGGAGTGTTTTTTGCAGCCCTGCTTTTACATTATATTGACGTGACTTTATAGTTTTGTGTGTGTGTATATGGGTGAATATTTTTAACCTTGTTTTATTTGCTAAATATGGTTTCGCAAAAACATGTTTTCAGTATTTTTATTTTTTTAAAAATTAATGCAAGCTATCAACATTGTTTAGACTGTTGGGAACAGAGGTAACAAAGGATTTCTAAAAGACAGAAAATAAGCTAAGAGATACTCTACAGGTGCTGAAAGTGACTATAAGTACTTGCTGTTCTCAGGTGCTATGTTTTGCAGATGGAAATAGTTACTAGAAGATAGTTAAAATATTCTCTTTTATGTTCTCACCAAAGTCAGTCAAACAAATAAATGTTGTCAATATTAGTTAAAATTGTATACCTGTATAAATATTCTCTGTGCTTAAGCTTGAGCAAATGGATTAATGCCTGTCAGGCTTTGGAAACTGTTTTAGCTTTAGCATATTGAACCAAACTGTCTCCTCCTTGCTGGCTGTGTAATTTTCAAGAGTAGAAAGTTCTAGTTCAGGGCAGCAGTCAGATTCAGAGAAGAATGAGTTCTCTCTCCTTAAAGGCAGATTTTTGAGAACACGTACCTGAAATAGAAGTATGCCAGAATAGAATCTGGAGTAAGGAATTTTAAAATATGGAATATGCTTTGTTGTACATGGACTGGCTTATACGAAGTCTTTTCTGACCATCCGCATTTATTTATCTGTATTTTACTATTGGAACGCAGATGTGGCTGGACCCGTATATGTTATTTCTTCTTGGTTTTATTCTTTCTTTACTTTCTACCTTTTTTTTTTCCAAAGTGGCTCTCCACTGTCATGAATTTATGTAATAGTCTCTTCACAGGCTATCAACAGGCAGAGGTTCATTCCCATTTTCTTCAGATACCCATGCTTCCAGCAGAAGTTAATTCTGATGTTCCACCTCAGAACAAGTGATTTACAAGAAATTGTCATGATAAGCAGTATTAAAAAAGAAAAAAAGAAAAAAAAAAAAAGAAAAAAAAAGAAAAAGAAAAAAAAGGGAAGAAAAAAGTCTCCTGGTAGCTCATGAAGAGGATGTGGTGACCTCACTTGTTTTGTGTACTTGTATGTAGGGATATTTTTATTGTGTTCTAGATGAAACACTACTGCAGCAATCTTTCTGTAGATGGACTGCACCGTATGTTGTTGTAGTGGAAAGAGCCCTATTTTTTTCCTTGCTGTCTCACTTGGGGTGGAAGAGGGAGGGAGTAGGGAACACTGACTGGACAACAAAGAGAATGAAGCCTGCTATGGTAACTCATTTTCAAGGATAATCTTTTTTGAAAAGCCAGAGAACTTGGATTGGGCATAAAACTTAATTATTATTTTTTTTAAGAAAGAACAATAAGAAATGAAATGTTGTAGGGGTTTTCCCGTTCTCTTAAGTTCTTACGTTCCTGCAATTGAAAAAAAAAAAAAGAAGCAAACATGAAAATGGAAAGACCACCTAGAAACTATATCAAAGACTCTTCCAGCAACTTTCCCTTTTCTTTTCCTGCTATACTTGCTAATAAACACTGGCTACAAGGTAGCCTTTGTTGACCTTTGAGGTAGATTACCTATGCAACCTATAATACTCTTCATGAATCCATTCCTAAAGACAATTTTGAAAGGGTTAGATGTTGAGAGTTAAAATTGTTGCTTTCTGATCACATGGGGGATTTGGGGGGGTTTTGTTTATTTGGTGGTTGATGTGCTTGTGTTACCTTTAGTAGACATATTAAGAGCACAGTGTCGTGATCACATTTTAGAAGCTTCAGCTTTCCCTAGGCTTTGCTAAATGGCATAAGCTACCTTCATTCACAAGGCCATGAAGTTGTAAATGTTGAAGATTTCTGCAGGGCTGACGTGAATCTTGCTACCCCTCTTTTTCGTAATGGTGGAGACTAAGCAGAACTGAAGCTAGAACAACCTGGTACTGCAAGCTTATAACTAGTGCCCTGTTCAGGCTCCACATGCCCACGTATCCCTTCACACCCCCACCACGACCCCCAATCTAGTGTCTTTCCAGCGTTTCATTCACGTAATACTTCCAGACCATTGAAAGCTGTTCGTAGCTCTGTGGTTGAGTGAGCCCAGAGCTACTCTTTCACAGAAGAAATATAAATGGAACCAAGGGCCTTACTGTTTGTGGTTAAACAAGATTAAAAGCTGCAACATCCGTTTTTCCAAAAAAAAAAATCCCCAAACAAACAAACAAAAAAACCCAAACAAAAAACACCCAACAAAAACCACCCTCGTAACCCTCTTTTTGGGAGCGTATGAGTGATGAATCATGCAGTGGATGGGAATATAAGTAGCACTGATAAAGAAATGCATGTTCTTCATAGGCTGCATTTCTGTTTGGAAAAAAAGACTTTTTCTACTTTTAATATTAATTAAGCCATAAGAGTTTCATGCTGTCAGAAGGGAATGAAAGGGATCACTTTAAGAGATTATATTGATATGTATTGTCACTTCTGCTGGGAAATGTCTATTGCTGCCAATGCTTTGGTGAATCTTTTTTTTTTTTTTTAAAAAAAAAAACCACGGAATTTGGAGGAAAAAAAAAAAAAAAGAAAAAGGGGCTAGTTCTTGGCTATATTTACTAGTTTTGTAGTAATGTTTTGCTGGCCCGTTTGTCGTTTCCTCTCCTTTTTCTACTCTCATAGTCTGATTTCTATCTTTCCTTCTAATGTCTCTGAAAATACTAGCTTGTCTGCTCAGTAGGGGTCGGTGTATGTGTGTCTTCCTTTTTACAGAAACGCACTACTGTGTTAAGTATTTGGCTGGGAAATGGGATGCTGCAGCTTTAAGAGCATTTTTTTCAATTCATAACAGTATTTCCCATCCTCTTTTGCCTGCAGGCAGGGAAAGTGTATGTACAGTATTTATTTTGTTTCGATTTTACTTTAAAATTGTAAGTTTCTATAAGTAGTTCACATTGATTATTCTAGGGGAGGACAAGTGGCTTTGTTTAAATTTGTATTTGATATTCATAGTTTCCACTTTCTGTACTTTAAAATACTGAAATTAAAAAATTGTATTGCTTATGTTTTGATTTTAGCACTCTAAAGCGTTTAATTTCTTCAGACTTCTGCTCATTTGCTTCAGTGTAAATACAGAAAACTGTACAGAATATTGTGAGGAGAAAAAAGCTTTTCTAGGTCAAATCTCTGTGCCCTTTACTTGTTGCATTTTAAAGAAGAAATTTTCTGGAGAAATGTGATGTGAGAGGGAATATTCTCATACTGTTTGGTT